GCTCGCGCTCAACTTCATCAACGTGGCGAGCCTTGCACGTGAGAGGCACAGTGGAGGTGGAGTTCAAAGAAGAATGAGAAATTTAATGGTTTCAATCTGCCCTTGTTTTTTCTTTTTCTTTTTCTTTTTATTTTTGCATGTTATCACTGTGCCCGTTTTTTGCTTTTATTCTTTGTTCCGCAAAGTGCGCTCTTTTAGTTCGTAGTTATGTGACAATATACGGTTTACCAGGCAGTTTTGTTTGATGATACATACAATGTGAAGTAATTTCAAAGGAAAGGGAAAGAAGGCCGGGCTCTCCACTTCAGGGCCTCTCCAGAGATAAAGTATGGTCTACTTGAATATAAAGTACAGTGTGCATATTCACATACAGTGTGCATACATTACGTTCAAATATAACGTGTAGCACTGCGTACGTTATATTCTACCGCACATTCTATTTGAATTTTGGGCACAACCGACGCTGTTAGGGAAACTTTGATGTAGCGTATGCACATTATATTCGACGTTTTTCTTACCGTATGTTATGTTCAAATTTTGGGCACCAAGTTCTGAGTATCGACTTCATTAGGGAACTTTAACATAACGTACATAAGTTATATTCATGGAAAGTTGGAAACACAGTTCTTTTCTTTTGCAGAAAACCAGAATGAAGCCTTTTTCCCTCGTTCGATAAAAGTGAAAGGAGGAGAATGCTGCAAATTTGGGAACGTGGTGCTAAATTGGAAACATGGTTGAAATAGGAAGTGTTCTATGACTTGACTCTTACTGTGCATTTGACGTTTCTTTGTTACGAGTGGGCAGAGGGCGGTCGCGATCAGCTTCACCAGCACGATGGCGCAGACATGAGCGAGATCGTGACAGGGACAGGGATTGGGATCGAGATCGAGATCGCGAACGGGATAGGGAACGAGGGCGTGAGAGGACGCGCGAGCGGGAAAGGGAAAGCAGCCGGGCACGGAATTCTCCACCGAAGAAAGAGTATATCACGGAGTTTGGTGGGCCAATCAGTGGCGAGGAGGATGGAAGGCGCTCGGGAGTTAATACGGCGATTGGCCAAGGGATTGCTCCACCACCGTCGCCACCATCGTGTCATCTTCAACGTGGCAATGAACAGCAGAATCTCAACCGGTCGGAGCAACTGACCCTCTTGACATTCATCATCATCATCAATGATGACCGTGCACGCGTCAAGATCATGAATAAAGCGCATCGATAAACCATTTCGAGCTAAGCAAGCTCCGGTGATGTGTGATGACCTCGTCGTCCTACAGCCTCTCGGCCACGGATGCGACTGTCCCTGTTGTTGTGGGGCAGTTGCACAGTGGTACAGGGGTAGGTTGTGCTGTAGGCTCTCCAGTGTTACGCACACCGCTCGACCACGATGATGTGTCTGTCTCCGCCTTAGAATGTCTGTGGGATATGCACATCTGTCGCAGCAACGTTCTGGTGTGTCTGTGTCCCACCCTTAGGATGTCTGTGGACCGTGCACCTCTGTGAAAACAACTTTCATCCTGTTGCCTCACACAGCTAAACAGAACTTGTCCTGAAGCGTGCCCGTTCGATGCCAACCGCAAGCAGCTGGTGAGATATAAACTGTTGTTGCGCTGCTCACCCACTGTTTGTGGCTGTGGATGGTATGGCACGTGTCAGAGCAGGTGTGAGGGAGAGGGGGTGGTGGGAGTGGGGCAGGGGAGGGGTTAGAGAGATAGAGAAGAAGGGGGTGGCAGGGAAACGAGAGATAGAGAAACGGGAAGGGGAGAGGTGTGGGGTGTGAAAGGGAGGGGAGATGGTAAAGGGGGGTGTGGGGAGCCAGAAGGGGAGGTGCTGATGATTTATCTTTGATTTGGCTAGAATATGTGTGGTGGCATGGGTGTGGCCGATGATTGAGATGGCTGGGTGAGAGAGAGAGAGATCAGGGTGGGAGGGAAGCAAAAAAGAGAGATACAGGAAGGGGAGAGGTGTCTGTGTGTGTGT